GGATTTTCCAAGAAAATTTCAAAAAAAAATTGAAAAAATTGCTAAAAACACAAAGCAAATTGGCAAAGATGATCCAAGAAAAATTTGGCATGCCTTTAAAGTGGGATTAGCTCTCACTTTAGTTTCTTTATTCTATTACACTGAACCACTATTTCATAACTTTGATCAACCAGTAATGTGGGCTGTCCTTACTGTGGTGGTTACTTTTGAATTTACCGCGGGTAATTCTTTTCTTTTTTTCATATAATAATTTTCCAATTTTTTACACCTAAAAAAATAGAAATTATCGATGGACAGTTTCTATTGTTAAACAACAAAAAAAACTCACCGTTCATCCTATTTAACTATGGATGTGATAAAAAAAAAATATTAGATGTCAGTTATTTAGCGATGAAATTCACAGCTAATTTCTAAATAACAAAAAAAAATTTATATCTAATCCTATCAAATGACGTATCAGCGATGAATTATCAAAAATCATGTTAGATACGAATTATCTAGATTTTTGATGTTTTATTTATTTATTTATTCAGGTGCAACCATATCAAAGAGCATAAATAGAGGAATTGGTACAGCACTAGCTGGTGCATTTGGTCTTGGAGCTAAATATTTAGCTGAATTAATTGGGAGAGAAGGGCCAAATCCTATAATTCTTGGGGTTTTGGTCTTTATTGTAGGTATGAAAATGTAAAGCATATTATATAATAAAATAATAGCAAAAAAAAATGTTAAACTGAATGAAGTCTACTATGTAAACATATTTGACTAATCAACAAATAAGTTTCAGAAAAAAAAAACATATATTGAAATTTATGGTCCTAACAAATATACTATACAAAAATACTTTTGAAATTGATGGTCATTTTCCAAACTGTCTTTAAAAGATACTCATAGATATGGAGTTTCAACTTTCAAGATTGAAACTCTATGACAATAATTATTTTTCTACTGAGCTAAAATGTGGTTGTTTGTAAATTTTTGCTATGTAAGTATGTCATAACATTTGCATAGTTGTAAATGTTTAAGAAAGATGTTATTTTTATTGGATAAACTAGAAATTTTAAAAAATAGAATTATATAAATTGAAACGAATTAAGAAGTACAAATTTAACCTTATTTCTAATGATATATACAGGTGCTTTAGGTACATTTACAAGATTTTACCCTCATATTAAGAGGAGGTATGACTATGGAACCATGATATTTGTCTTGACCTTTAGTTTGGTTGCCGTCTCCGGTTATCGATCAGAAAATATTTTTCAATTGGCTCATCGACGGATATCCACTATTCTTATTGGTGTCTTCACTGTCATGATCATCTCCATGATTATTCGTCCAGTGTGGGCCGGAGAAGATCTTCATAAGCTTGCTAGTACCAATCTTGAAAAGCTAGCAAGCTATCTAGAAGGTACGTTTTAATTTATATGACTTTATTTTATTTTTAATTTAGAAACGATTTAACTTTCAACTTCTTATTTACCTAACCTTTCAAAATCTGACCCCTATGTCATACTCCCTATGGTTCACATTAAATGATTTTCTAACCTTTTAAATTTAGTCTTATCTAGTTAAGCAATATTCCCTCTTATTAATTAACATTATTAAATAATTTCTTAATAGGAGTGTCAAAATGTAAAAGGAAAAATACTTTAAATGAACCTAATGAATTATATAAGATCGTAATTTTTTTTTAAATAACTTTTTTTTTCTAAACTCTATATATAATCAAACACATTCACATAAGCTGAAACATGCTGAATAATATCTAACCTTTTGTCACATGATCAGCTTAGGAATTTATGTGGAGCAACAAATTGAAAAAATTAAATATTTTTTTTTGTTGTTTTTACAGGATTTGGAAGTGAATATTTTCACATTTCTGAGAATAAAAGTGTTGAAGGCAACAACAATAATGAAAAGGGATTTCATGAAGTTTTTTTAAGTATTCTTGGTTCTAAGGCCACTGAGGAATCTTTGGTAAGTAAATCACATTACAATTCTCATAATTTTAAAGAAAAAAAAGTATAATTTTTCATCACTAGTCAAAACTTTTTTTTTCATTTTTTTGATAACATCCAAAAGAGGTTACTATTATTTGAGTATTTATTATTTGTCTGATTATGACAAGACATTTTCTTTAACTTTTTTAAATCACCTTTGTAACATGCATGAGTGTTACTTTCTAACGACTTTCGGAATTTAAGTTTTATTCACTAACGATATAAAAGAAATTCATAGTATGGATAAATTTAGTTAACAACTTTGATTGATAACTTAAACTCGATAGTCAGCAACATAATATAATAAATTACATTATATTGATAATATATAGTTTATTTGATGTTTCAGGCAAACTTAGCATGGTGGGAACCCCCTCATGGAGGTTTCAAGTTTAATCATCCATGGAAACAATACTTGAAGATTGGTAGTCTTGTTAGAAAATGTGCTTGCCATCTTCTAGCTCTTAGTAACCACATAAACTCGAAATCTCAGGTACATATATAAAAACACTCTTTTTATCAATCCCTTTTTTTTTTGTCACCTTGTGACATACATTTGGGGGGGGGGGGTATTTGTACGAATTACTAGAAACAGTTAAAAAACACCGCGTCTCATGACATTTATTTAAGAGGATAACCTACTTGCACAATAATGTACCGCGATATCATTTTATAATTTGTACATAGTAAAAACCCGAATAATTACTAAAAGACTATCAGTGTTTAAAAATTTGAACAACTTAACACAATTACATATATTTTGAATGGTCTAACATTTTGTAACACCAAAAGACAAAAAAATCAATAATGTTACATAAATTGAAATGAATTATAATATAATATATTTTTTGTTTATTGAGAAATTAAAACTTCTGTTCAAACATTTAGGATTGTATAAGAGCTTCTAATGTTTTTAGAAAAATGAGAACTTCTTTTAGTAAATGATAGTATAAAAATTATTCGTACTGATAATATATATAACTTAAATTTTATCATATATATAGTCAAATTAACATATTATTAATGATTAATTTTGTAGGCACCAAATGAATTTGAGAGGAGGACAGAAGAAGCATGCAAAAAAATGATTATGGAATCTAAAAAGGCATTAAAAGAACTTGCATTGTCCATTAAAACCATGGCACAACCAATTTCTTCGATACGTAACACAAAAAATGTCATTGATGACCTAAAACTCACACTAGGCACCTCAAAAACCCTTTTTCAATACGATGAATCGCGCGTCCTGGACTTTGTTCCCACCGCGTCCGTCGTGTCCTTACTCATCTCTGTCACTAAATGTGTCGATGAGATCTCTGAGGCTATCAAGGAGCTTTCGAGCAAAGCACGTTTTGAGAAGAAGAGTATGTCGCCGCCTCCACCATCCCGGTCGCATTGGCCGCAGATATTGCACCGTGGAACCGTGAATCCTATTGTGGAGGATGAGGTGGATGGTGGTGATTTGGTTACGATCGAGATCGGTGACAATGTAGAATCAAAGAGGAAAGTTGTAGTAGAGGAGGTGAATCCTATTGTGGAGGATGACGTGGATGGTGGTGACTTTGTTACGATCGAGATAGGTGACAATGTAGAATCAAAGGGGAAAGTGGTTGTAGAGGAGGTGAATCGAGTGAATAATCAAATAAATGCAACAAAAGAGGAATCTTTTGTTATTTGGATACGTGGAAGCACCGCAATGGCAATAGTGGAAGAGATGAAAACGCCAAAAAAGATGGGAGATTTTATGGACTTAGTTGATATAAAGCTTTATAATAGTACTCAATTTCTCGAATCATCAGAAGGAGTACTGACAGTTCTAGAGGGGGCGAATCAAGTGAATAATCCACTAACTGTGACGGAGGGAGAATCTGTTGTTATTGGGATACGTGGAAACACGACAACTACAAAAGTGGAAGAGATGGAAATGACTAAGAAGAAAGTAGAATTAACAGACTTGACAGATATAAAGTTTAATAATAGCATTCAATTTCTCGAATCTATATTGATGACCGTAACAACAGTAGTGGAAGAGATGAAAATGACAGAGAAAAAGGAAACTTTGTAAATTTAGTCGATACAAAGCTTTATGATAGCATTTAATTTTTTTAATCAATTGAGATAGAAAATTGTAAATAATTGCAAATGAAAGTGTAAGTAGTGAAATTTGTTAGAGTACTTCCCTTTCAATATTATTTTGTATGTGTAATACAAGTTAGTTTTTGCTCTACAAAGTGAAATTATCCTCATTGCTCTATCTACTAGTACTTGTAATTAATATTTTAATTTGAGCTTGATATATTGGACGCAGTGGCAGAGCCAGGAATTTCATGGACGACAGAAAAAAATGAAAAAAATAAAAAATAAAAATTGTTGCTACTGGCTCTTTCAAGGCGTGTAAATTCACTGGGCTACAACACCTTGTTCTGTCAAGGGTGTCCAGAATATGTTGATGAATAAAATTACAAAGCTAAGTGGAGCTTAAGCTCGACCCATTGTTCCAAATTGCAGCCGATAGCTGCTTTGCAAAAACTAAGATTCTGACAAAAACACTATAAGTTTTGCGCAAACTTACAAGTCCAGCGTGATAAATAAAATTAGCTATAGCATCTCAACAGTCAACTGGATCAATTCTATACAAAATAATTCTTCCTGTACTTATGCCTAGGGACTCCATTTGTATGAGATTAAGTTTGTAAGGTCCGATAACTGCTATCGATGGTAGGTGAGCATGTGCAAAAATAAACTTTATTTTTTATTTATTTAACAAGCACTAGGAAGCCAAGGGGTTTTCGAAGATTGATTTGAGATCTTGTATTAGGGACTATATGTAAGCACTGTGAGTTTCTTGTAATGTCGTTTGGATTAACAAATGCATATTTTGATAAGTTGGTGATTATATTTATCGAAAATATACTTGTATATACGTCTCTACGTTAATTTCATATATTTAATTTACAAAGAACCATGATCAACATGAAAAAAAATATTTGACACATTAGATAGACAAGAAGATATATCATAATTTTACAAATTTTACACATCCTATTTACTTTTCTTGCAGGTTTAACTGCATCACTAGCTACAAAAATTATCAAAACAAAACCTGGAACACTAGGGCAGGGGTGGAGCTAGGGAGCACGAAGGGATACATCGGAACCTCTTTGCAGAAAATTACACTATATATAAGATCAAAATTACTTTTTACGTGAAAATCCTGGTTACGACACTAATACCAGGTAAGGATTGGAGTTATGAGTATCCAAGTTACATCACACCTATACAGGTCAAATAAGGTATATAACTACCAGCCATAAATTGGGTTTTCTACCTGGGGAGGTAAGAGATGGAGATCTTCACAATGCTGCTTGTCATAATCTCGTGTTCCCGGTGTTGCACCTGAACACCACCTCACGAACTCGTTCCCTGTGAGACAATATTGTGCAAATGCCAGACTTCCATCAACCATCCCTCCGAGATTTGGCATGGAAACTGATTTTCCTATGCCCTTGATCCTGCTTTTTCTCCTGTCACCGCCTTTTTCACTAGTCAAAACCTTATCGAGATCAGAATATTCGATGAATCTCTGTGTTGCAGCTTCCCACGAAAGCTTATATTGTTCCTCGGGAGTGAGAGGCTGAGGCTCACCGGTCATTGCCTCTTTAACCTTTTCTACAAAGTCTTCTGATGTCTTATAAGTCAAGCAGTTAGGAAATGCCTGGAAGAACTCATTAGACGGATGATCTGCACAAACTACAAATTTCCCCATAGCGAGTGCCTCAGCTGTAGCTGTACAGAGTACATCACTGATACTAGGATTTATGAAGACTTTATAACTGCAAGCAAAAATTTATCGATCAGGAAAGGTGAACCATGAAGTACGAGATGGAAGTACATTTTTACGCAAGTAACTAACAGTCGCCTTTCAAATCCATTAAAGAACCAAAAAATATGCTTTCAAGTCAAAGAAAGTCTATGTATGCGTGTGTAAAGTATAGGTAGCACCTATGTTCTATCTAAACTTCGAAGTTTTAAAGCAGCTTTATACCTATGAAGAGAATCATCCGCGTGGTCTCTGCCTTTCATGAAGTTGACATTCAAATTTAACGTCCTAGCTGTTGTCTGCACTTCATGAGCATCTTCCCCGTTGCCAAACACATCCATATTAAAACCATCAAGGTCACTTTTGTGCTTCGCTAAAAGGTCTATTAACTCCCTGTAACCCTTTGCCCAAACCATTTTCCCTAAGAAGTATGCACCTTTAGAGAAAACTTGCTGACCGCTTTGTCTTTCGGCAGCCATTTTTTCTCCAATTTTTAGAAACTTCGGATTTACACCATGAACATTGCAGACCACAGACCTGGGTAAATCCTGTGTAGCAGCAGAAAGGCGAAGCACCTAAACAAGAAAATTAGCATTTCCATCAGAACCAGGATAAATAAAATAATTAGACATGATAAACACATGTCCAAGTGCTAACGCGTCTTTTGGTCTGTAAAGAATTTAATCAACAAATTTTCCTACTCCCGTCTTGGAGAACTCAATCAATCTGTAAAAATTTACCTTGTCACAATGCGCTCTTGTGACCCAATTATTTACGTGTTTCACAAGGAAAGCTTGAAGAGCCCCATTCTTCTCTCTTTTGATATACTCCAAATAATTTGTGTGAACAATACCAACGACATGGTTAAACTTATCAGTCCAGCGTTTGCCATGATGGTACCAATTTAGATGTTCTGGCTCCTCTAAGATTGCAATATCAGCATCCCTTGATGGGATAAACTGAGTAGTATCTCCAGCTGGTAGTATACTTCGCCTTTCCTTGGAGAACTGGAGAGGAAAACAAAGTGTCAAATAATCACAGCATTTCAGTAGCGTCTTTTTGTTTACTGAATAATATGCAATTAGTTTGCCAGGAATACCTTTCCAGGATAAAACGAAATCTTGAAATCAGTCTTGAAACCGACTCTTTCCTCAAGCCAATTCCGTATGTAGAGCTCCTGCTCTTCTGGTGAACTAAATGTAAGATTGTTTGGATAAACTAGTTCTTGGTCCGATTTACATAGCCATGGAACCAAGAGTGTAACATTCTGCCTTTCAGACTTGGCCAAATAAGCCGCTCGGAAGAGAGGATTGACAGCTGTTCCAGTCATCCAAGGTAGGCTAGCAGTTGTGACTATGGCTACATGTCTTTTACCATCTGATATGTTTTGCTTTGTAGAATTGCTCCAAAACCCACCTTCATAATGATGACCAGTACTTTGTAGCACACTGGCAATTCGTAGTTCTAGTTCATCATTCATATTATCGCCTTCGATCAGGGAAGAATCTCCTTCAGGTAAAGCACGTAATAAAAGTTTGTTCCGCCGTTTGCCGCATAAACTCTCTACGATCTTATCGGAGATATCTATAGTGAAATCAAAGACCCAGAGGAAATAGCATATGGTTTTAGTAGACAAAATAATATTGAGGTTAAATAGTATCAAATCAATTTTAGTGGCTACAATCAACAAAATGCACATGGTCCAATTAAATATAAAATGAATAAAACGAAGCAAATTACGCAAAAACGAAGCACATGAATCTCAAACCAGAATTATCAATAGCATCTACATCACAGAGACAGAGACCTCCAATAATCACATTTTGTTCTAGAAGCATGTCTACTTCAACAGATCAAAAACCAGATTGGATAAATCTAGCAGGTCGTCATGAATTAATATGATCGTAGCAAATGAAAAGAGAGAATATTGCAAGTAGAATAATCCAGAGAAACACAAACTCAGATCAAACCTACAAGTTTACAAAAACCACAAACCGTTTGACAGACTATTACCTCTTCTTATGCCAATTTGATCCAAAAATGGGCTTGACTGTCTAACCAAATAAGCTAACAACTCTGGCACGTCCAGTGGCGGAACTCCCTGCATAGACGAAGATCATGTAAAGGAACCAATAGCTTCAACCTCAGTCAATTTCTAGTTAAACATTAATATGTCCACTTTTCAAAAAAGATGTAGATCCAAAGACAGCTCCACTTGACATGTCATCGCTACTCCAATTTGTGTATTGACCTGGCTATCCTAATTTACAATTAAAGGTTATAATGGTCAGTTTATAAAGTTGTGTTTCCTTCGCTGTTCTTCAATCAAAATCGTCATTTCAAACTTCCCTACCTTAACCGACTAAGCAAAGCATTATTTACATAATACGTTGAAAAGTTCAAACACATCTAAAACCTTGCAATTACAACTTCACGAAATGTAAAAGTAAGACACTAACCTTCGACTCTTCTGGTTCCTTGCAAATTGATTTCTGGAAAATCATTAGACAAAACACAAAAACAGCAGATTAATCATGTGAAATCAGATCAATTTATGATGTGAAAAGGAAAGCCATGATAAGAAGCAAGTCAGATCAATTTTAATACAACGTTTCATATCAAACTCTCTTCTAAAAAAATCGGCATACAACTCTACGTTACTAGTAGAACTTTGACTTCTAGTGTAAAACTTGTATAACTAGTACTTACATAAATTATTGACTGCGTGAGAAACTATATATATTAATCACAATTCACACACAAATGCACAATAATCTTTGTGCTATAATTCCTCCATAGCTAGTCCGTGAAGCAAATGCCCGCTACTCGTTAACCTTATTTTTTTAATAATTCAACTTCCTAGCAAATAAGCATAAAATTAACATTGTAGCATTGGCTCAAAAAGTTCAAAACTTAAGTTTTGACAAAAAAGAAAAAGGTAGTAGCTTTCTGGGTTTTTTGCCAAAAAAAAAACATAACTTTTTTCTCTTTTGTTACAATCAACAACGACGACATACCCAGTGTAATCTCACAAGTACAGTCTGCGAAGGGTAGAGTGTACGCAGACCTTATTCCTATCTTGTAGAGATAGAGAGGTTGTTTCCGGCATACACTCTACTTAAATAAAGCATTTCCAAACAATTTGAAAAACGGAATACATAAATGAGAGCAGTAACAACAACAAAATAATGCAAAACGGAGAGCATTAACAACAACAACATACTCAGTATAATCCTACAAGTACGCAGACTTTACTCTATCTTGTAGAGATAAAAAGGTTGTTTCTGATAGACTCTCGACCTAAATGAAGCATTTCCAAACAATTTGAAAAGGGAATACACAAATGAGAGTCGTAACAACAACAAAATAATGCAAAATGGGAAGTATTAACAACAACAACATACTCAGTATAATCTCACAAGTGCGATTTGGGAGGGTAGTGTGTATGCAACCTTACCCCTACCTAGGCAGTTAAATGAGAGCATTAATAGTAACAACAACGAAATAATACAATAATTGAAGCACAAACAAGTGATAACAAACTTACGAAGCTCGATTTTACTTTCTCCATAAATTCACTATTCTTAATCCCTTCAAAAATCTCCACCGGAGACGACGAATTCGGACTCCTAATCTCAACCTCCATCTCCCTTAACCGATTCCTAAAAGCCCTAATTGGTTCCCAATTACTCAATTCCCCAAATTGCCTTTCATCCTTAAACCTCTCTCTTCTCCATTTCCCCAATTTCTCATTTTCCATTTCCGTTTCCGTCACAATTGCATTCTTAATTCCTGACAAATCAATTCGAAGCTTCCCTTTCGGTGCCCAATTAAAGTCCGGCGACGAATAAACCCTACGTATTTCCGATAATTTCGGACGGAGCTTCTTAACAAAGTCTATCTCTCCCGGAGTGATAGTAGTAGTTGCAGTAGCCGTAATTGTTGGTACTGAGTTAAGGAAATTCTCTAGTTCCTTAGCTCTGTTTCTGATGAGTTGTAGATCCGCGTCGGCGGAAGAACGAACCTCTTTCCATCCCTTAGATATCAATGAAAACGCTTTCTCCGCCGTAGACGACGACGACGTCGTTTTGGTCTCCGGCGGCTTGAAATTCATCATTTTTTTCTAGGGTTTTAGCAATTGCTCTGTTTTTTTTTCCTGAAAATTTGGAGAAGAAGAAGAATGGGTGGTTGAAATTGATGCTTTAACAATGGTGGAATGACACGTAGGATGACACGTGTAGTGGCTAGATTCCCGGGAGATGACGTGGATGGATGGAATTCGATGACGTGGATTTTACGATGTGATTGGGCCCGGACTGTGAATAGATTGGGCCTTGTTGGTATGTGAACAGAGTTTAACAAGAATTTGTGGATTGTGTGTAGCTACTTTTAGTATATTTTAGAGAAACTTTCACGTATAGCAAACAAAAAAATCATATTTGTATGTTATAGCAAAGTTTGCATAATTGCGCTCCATAGCAAACATATATATGTATAATTCGCTATACATATATACAAAAAGAAGCAATTGTATAATTCGTTGGCTCCTCTTCAGAATTGTATAATTTCGCTGGCAGGCCATTTGTATAAATTGTTGTTAGCCTCTCATTTGTATAAATCATTGACAAACATAAATTATACATTATACAAGCATAAAACTGGGCAGGGAAATTTATTTATTGTATAATTATAAGTGTATAGGACAAATATATATGTATTTGCATGTGTATATACAATTTTCTCTCGCTTTATACAAACAGAAACGCAATTTATACACTTATGTGTATAAAGCGAGAGAGGCAAGAACAGAGAGAGTGAGCGAGAGAGGAGAGTGGCGAGCGAGAGTTTGAGGGAGAGAGGCGCTGGCAAACAGTTTGCTACAGGACACAATTAAATCAAAGTGTGATTATACCATTTAATTTGAATTAATAGTTTGTCATTATGTACAATTTTCCCTATATTTTACACAAATCTCGTAGTATTAAGAGTTAATTGCATTTTATTCCTATTCTTTTTTAAATTACAAAATTTCTTAAAATTTAATGTTTTCGGATACATCACTCAACGCCTCGGTATGTCGCGTCTCGATTTCAGATACATCACTTAATTTCTTGATACATCGTGTCATGATTTTAGATATATCACTCAGCATCTGATACATCACATCTCGATACATTACCTTTGTTGATACAAGACACACATGTCCTGATATATTTCCTTTGTTTTGATACAAGACACACATATCGCGATACATCACGTAAGAGTGATGTATCCGAGAATAGGATAGAGTAAGGACTTTTGTAATTTTTTCAAATGATAGGAATTTTTAAAGAATATGATAAAATATGTTGTGTATTTAGATAATTTTTCCAATTTATTAAATTACTCTTATTCTTATTTTTTTTATTTTTGCTAAAGGATAAGTAAATTTCGCTACTATCAATAGGTGCGTCGTAGTGAATGCAGTTGCTTTTCTGTTAATCATAGGTCTCGAATTTGAGTTTTAGGTATAAAAAAATGTTAATAGGGAGTGCTATCCCCGAATAGGTCCTACCCAAGCAAATTTAAATAAGTCGGACTGAAATCAAGTATCAAACACCATATGGAAAATTTGAACAAAAAAATCTTGTCAGTACATACAAAATAAATATGAATTACTGACACATAATTAATATCACAACAATAACCACACCTGAAGTAATCTTATACGTGATATTTGAGAAGGATAAAATATACGTAAAATCACAAATTTTATATGATATATATAGAAAGAGTTTATTTTCGATAGATCCTTAATTTAAATAAAGTATTTCCAACAAATTTAAATTATAAAAATTATGCTAATATTACTGAAAGAAAAAAGATCCAAGTGCGACCACATCAATGATCAAACCCATCTGCATGAAAATGTGAAAACGTTCAATCGTCAACTAACTCTTATATTGTTTGTGTAAACGTGTAACACTTTATTTGGATGGTTTCATAATGTATCGTATCGTACTATATTGTGTTGTATTGTATGGTACTATATTGTTTTAATAAATACAATAGTTAGATAGATTATATCATTCTCCGTCGTTACATAATATCATTATCCATAATTTGAATGATAAACATACAAGAAAACTAGGGTGCGAGTAGAGCTACTATGATAAGGTAGGGTAAATGATAAAATAAAATTATTAAATAATAAATAAAGACAAAATAAGCGAAAATATTAAGTTAACGATGCGACCACACCAAATCGACCATCACACAAAATGGATCTTTTTCGTTGTTATCCAACGATGAATTTGAACGATACGATACAATAAAATTTAAGCAACAATAAAAACAAAACATTGTATTTAAGCTAACAATACATACAATACAATAGAACAGGTAACAACCATCCAAACAAGGTGTTAAGGTGATGTCATCACTAAGCTAAATATACGTCAATATTATGTTCCCTCGATCCATATTTACATGTCTACTTTTGAATTAACACATCTATTAAGAAAATAATGATTGACATAGTGAGTTTACCATTTTACCCGTATTAATTATGAAGTAGATAAATAAAAAATTTAAGATTTTCAAGAAGTTTTATCTTTTTAAAATTAATTGGAGGTATAACTCCCTCTGTCACTTTAAATTGTCATGTTGCGTTTTTTGAAAGTCAATTTGACTACTTTTCAAAGTTAAATTGGATTACATTAATTTGATATTTTAAACAAAAAATTTAAGATATTCAAAAATTATACGAAAAGTACTATAGATTTCAATTTTTTGCATATCAATATAATAAAAAAACACATTGTAAAATGTTCGTCAAAATTATTATCGTTTGACTCTAAAAGGAAAAATTATGACAAATAAAAGTGAACGGAGATTGTATATAAAAAAATTGTTCTTTCTTAATTTATCAAAATGGATAAGTAATTAATGACAGGCGAACGGAGATTATTATCTTTTTCCTCGAAAGAATATATAACCCCACCTCCATAGGCCACATGTTTGCTTAATAACGAAGCTTGCATAATTTTAAAGGGTAATTTCGTCATTTCACTAGCTTCAAACTCCATTGAAATCCGTGCCGTAAAGCAGACACAAAAAAAACACGAAGGATACGCGTCTTCTGTGTCTATCATTTGCTTAAAAGGCAAAAACGGTTGTTCTTGATCAAATTTTCAGCACAAAAGATTCATCATATCCTTCTGTTTATCCGAAAATTAAGAAATGGGGTTGCTTTCTAATAGGTAATCTGATTTTTTCCCAATTTTTTTCAATTTTTTTGGTGGGGTTTTGAAGTTTTTACTGATTTATCTTTTTTGTTTTGTTGATTTTGGTGAAATGATGACAGAATTGATAGAAGCAGCCTCAAACCTGGAGATCATATTTATTCTTGGCGCACTGCTTATATTTATGCCCATCATGGTTAGAATCTGAATTTTCTGCTTTAATCTGATATCTTAATGTTAAGGTAGAAAAATAAAAACTTTTTCTTTATGGTAAATAATGTTTAATTGGATATGTACCCAGAGGTCTCGGGTTCAAATTCCAAGTGATTTTTTCTTATATGTTAACTTGTTGGTGGTGGGTGGGAGGTGGCAGGTATCCGTGGAATTATGGAAATGAGATACTACATAGGGTTGTCCTAGATTTATTGATAGCATTTAAGGTTGATGTAGTAAAAAAAACTTGTTCTTTATGGTAAATAATGTTTACTTGGGTATGTACCTATTGGTGTGGAACCATGAGGTGTCTGGTTCAAATTGCAAATGATTTTTTCACCTATTTGTAACCTGTTGTTGATGGGAGGGGGCAGGTATGAGGTATCTCGGCGAATTATGGAAATGAGATAATACATGGGGTTGTTCAAGATTTATCGATGGCATTGAATTTTCACGAAGATTGTGTTTTCTTTTTGAATTGTGTCTCTGAGTATTTGGATTTTGCTAAGTTGCTGTTGTTTCTATGTTTTTAGACTATAACCAGTTAAATTGATAAAAACTTTGGTCAAGTACGAAAACTTGGAATCTGTTCTTTTCATTTGTCTAACTAAGCCTTGGTGGATAGAGTTGTGTGGTACATGTGTCAGTGGGAGGTAGTAGGTACCTCGTGAAATTAGTCGAGGTGTGCGCTCGTTGGCATGGACACCACGGTTATCATAAGCAATTAGGAACAAAATGCATTATCTGAGTGATCCATCTCTCTGATCGAGTAATTCTCAAGGGTTACTTTTTTCTGGACTATGTGCTTAGTCATAGACCTTAGAAGGCACTGCCAAAATGGGGTGGAGCTCATTCGTTTAATAAAGCAGTTAATTATAGAATTGAAGATGATCCAATGATGTTATTGGTAAAATCCTTTAGTAATTTACCTTCTCAAAAAAAAATCCTTTAGTAATTTGTTTGCCACAGGGAAGGGTTATCGGTCTTTCTGTATGTTCAAGGCAATTGGCTCGTTGCCAGTATTCACATTAGTCTAGAGAAGATTTGAAGTGCATAGCTAATGTTATCCAAGTGTTTGCGCTCCCCATGCTATTTTAATTTTGATCTTGCTTATGCTTCTGAATCACTTCTACCATCTAGTTTCCTGAATACCTTGATTAATAAACTATGGAATACAAAGATTATTTTCTAATCATATTGGATATGCCTAAATAACAGGTATCTATGTTGGGGACAATAAAGTCATTCACTTCACAAGACGTGGTCAAGAAGTAGGAACTGGGACCGTTTTGGATCATATCTTGGTAAGCTCAATTCCAAATCGATCTATTGTTCCTTGTACTGTTTGCACCCCACCATCAGATGGTCATGGAGTAGTCTCGTCATGTTTGGACTGCTTTCTTGCTGGAGGTATCCTCTATCGCTTTGAATATGCTGTAACTCCTGCTATCTTCCTCGCAAAAGCACGTGGAGGAACATGCACTCTTGCAGTCTCGGACCCAGATGACATTGTGGTTCATCGAGCAAACTACCTCCTTACTAATGGCTTTGGATTGTACAATGTGTTCAAGAACAACTGTGAGGACTTCGCCATCTACTGTAAGACAGGACTGCTCGTGGTAGATGATAGTACAATGGGACAAAGTGGACAAGCAGTGTCTATAATCGGTGGACCACTTGCAGCTGTTATGTCAACACCACTACGTCTCGTCACCACCAATGT